CTGCCTTTTCCGTGCCCACATTTCCCTGAATAGATTGCGTAGAAACTGATAAAAGCATTTTAGCCTTTATGCATGACTATTTAGTTAGTTCAATTTTAGGACAATTGGGCCGTGAGTCAAAACGTTCGCACACTCCTGAGTTGGGGGACTTCTGCGGTAGACGAGTCAAGACATGCAGTAACCTGAGATGGGAACAGATTATCTAATCTGGCAATACCTGAGAGAGGAAAAAAAAAAAACAATTCTAAAAACACTGGTCACCTCAATTTTGTTGAGGAGGTCCTCATAGGTGGCGTCACGGTTCTTTTGAAGAAACTCCACCACTATCTTGCTCATATAGATCTTCTCTTGCATCAGAGCAAAGATGGGAGCGTACTCCTCACTTGGCTCCATCAGGATGTAGTCGGCAAAAGCTGCAAGAGCAAACATTAACATTTGGCATCAAGAAAACTTTAAACCAAGACTTTGAATCCAAACACGCGTTCACATGCACACACACACATACCTGTTGTGAATCCAATTAAAGCCTTTTCTCCTCCATCAAAACCGGTTATCCACCAAGCATTTATAGGTCCAAGTTTCTTTGCAGGAACACTCCTCCATCAAAACCGGTTATCCACCACGCATTTATAGGTCCAAGTTTTTTCGCAGGAACACCACCTATAAAAAAAAAAAAAAAAATCAATACTTTAATAGTCCAAAAGACAGAAAAAAAAAAAAAAAGGAAAATCAATACTTTAATAGTCCAAAATCAACTCTTTGAAAGGGTTTTATTTTTATACCGTCCATGCAGGGGTTGTCATCATAGATTGGTTTGACCACAGCACTGAAGTACAGCTCCACGTTCTTCTCAATGAGTCCGGAATCAAATGGACAAAGGTGACCACGCTTGTCATACACACTGAAACAGGAAAAAAAGGGGAAAATATAAATAAATAAGACACCTCTTTTGTTTTGTTTTTCCTACAACAACAGCAATTCAGAAGGTTCCAATCGCTGCTGTGAACTTCAACATCCAAAACTGACCTGAAGTTTGTGATTTTGTGCTGTGGCAGATCCTCGTAGCTCTCAAAGCCATCCTCATTGGAGTCAAACAGGGAGAGGCGCTCGTCTGTTAACATCTCTGGTTCATCAAGCTGAAGATGCACAGAGTTTTGGTCACCAGAGCGCATCGTGACATAGTCAATACTACACTTGAATAAAGAAGCAAGTTTCTCACCGCATTATCAGGATCCCCTTGGAAAAATTTTAGATCAATATCATCCAAGTACTGTTTGCAGTCCAGACATTTGGGTGGTGGTGTCTAAAAAGAAAAGAAGATGAATATAAAACAAGAATAATAATAACGAAACGTTCGTGGTCATAAAATGAAGGCGTAAAGGTCTATCATTTATCACCTTTGGAATAGAAACTGTCTTGACATCAGTCTTTGATTTTTCATCAACAGCTCTGCAAAAAGAAACAAGTACAAACTGTTAAGAATCACACAAAAAAACAAAAAACAAAATGGTTGTCCTTTTAAATAATACAAGGAAAACATACTTTTCGTCCAAGTCGACTTTCAGACGTTTCTCCTCACGACACTAAAATAAAAAATAAAAAA